TTTTTTTCACATGGCTCTCATGGAGGTAAGGGTCAAAATCATTCAAAAGCTGCTTGAGAAGGGATGTTGTGTTTTGGGCAGAGCCACCTCCAGAGCATATTCATTGAATTCTTCTGCTTCCCAAGGGCTCCAGCCCTTCTTCCTGGGAATATGCTCCAAGCTCCTTTTTGCAATTGCAAAATCCGCTTGCTGTGCTCAACAGGATTACTCCTGGGAAGACCATGGCTTCTCACTGGTCAACCGGCTCTACTCTGACATTGGGCATCTCCTGGATGAGAAGTTTAGGATGGTGGACGGTCTGCAAAGCAGTGCCATAGCCAAGCGGCAGGGCTGTGAACCCTCTGTTTTCAAGCGTGGCATCTGGAACTACATCCACTGCATGTTTGGCATTAGGTAGGGAAACCAACTTCACAGTCCAGGGGAGAAAACTGAGCTGACCCAGGCAGGAGGAGGGTAGGACACTCAGTCTGTCACGCAGATGAGCATGGAGAAGGGACAGAGGTGAATCACCTGCCTGGATGCTGAGACAGGCAGGAAAGAGATACTAAACTGCTCTGGCCAGGGCAGAGGGCTTTGGGGACAGGGTTTCAGTGCTTGGTTGCTGTTGGCATGTACCCCCCTGCCCTGTGGCTGTGCCATGCCCCAGGCAGACCACAGGCAAGATGCTGGCCATGACTTGCCCCTGTGCTCCCCACAGGTACGATGATTATGACTATGCAGAAGTGAATCAGCTCCTGGAGCGAATGCTCAAAGTTTACATTAAAACTGTCACCTGCTACCCAGAGAAGACAAACTCAGAAATGTTTGACAGGTTCTGGAAGCAGTTCAAGCACAGTGAAAAGGTGGGATAGCTGGCCCCTGGCTCTGGCTGCGGTGGGGCTGGGAGTGGGCAGAGGCTGCAAGCTGGGGTGCTTTGGGGGATGTGTGGGAGATCTTTGAGCCACCGAACCAGCCTGAGGCAGGTGAGAGGGAATGGAGACTGGCTGTTTGTAAGGAGTTGGGCTTAGTGTGGGATGGGGCTGCCCACTGTTATGAGACCAGGGGCACCAGCAGCACAGGCATCTCCAAGGTCATTATCCCAGTGGTGAGTGCTTCCTGGCAATCCCTCTGTCACACTGTAACTCACAGCAGTGGCTGCTGTGGGTGTCAGGGACTGTGCTGCTGCCAGCCTGGAATGCCGGTGCCAAGTATGCAGGGGACTCCCTGGCACGCAGCTCTGGGAAGCAGCCACAGCCTACAGGACTGGGAGGAGGGGAAAAGGGGAGCTGCCTGAGCTGGCAAATTGGTGGCATTTTGATGACAAAAGACTCACTTCCCCAGGTGGGCAGTTACTTGCACCGCTGAGCGTAGCACGCTTCGGCTGCCTGAGCCGCTCTTGCTGTTCCCCCAGGTCCACGTGAACCTGCTCATCCTGGAAGCCCGGATGCAGGCAGAGCTGCTGTATGCGTTGCAGGCCATCACCCAGTACATGATCTCCTAGATGGTGGGAGCTGTGCTGCGGCGGGGCCGGGCAGCCTCCTCTCTCCCTGAACTCGTGCGGGACCCGTCATGCTGGGACCGACGGCGAGGGATTTCTTGATTTAGTTTACTTGACTGTATTGTTCCTTTTTGTTGGTTCCCCCCCCAGCCTTGTGGGGGTCACTGAGTGGCCCTGTTACGTGCAATTACCAAACTGTGAGGCAAGTCCGTGCTGCTGAGATGCTGGAGACTTGAACATGTCCAAGGAGGACTGCCAAAAACAGGGGAGAGGGAAGTGGGTGGGGACTGGGGCCAGATTAGAGGGATGCTCCTTGCCTGGGTGCTGTGGGAGCCTCAGTGGCACAGGGAGGGCAGGGGGAGAACTGGCTTCCTTCCCTGTGCTGCAGTAGCTGCTCTGCTTGCAAGGCCACCCTTGGGCACCTGTCCTCATTGGGGTGGTGTCTCTCACTTGGGAACAGTGCAGGCAGTGTGTGGGTGTGTTGCAATGTTCTGAGTTGCAGGGTTAGGCAGCAAGAAGCTCCAGCTCCTAGCAAGGGCCCTTCCCCAGGACAGCAAGGGGATGCACTTGCTGCCTATGCGTTATGTCCTTTAGGTCTATGTGCCAAACCCTTCTGGGATGGACAAGAGATCACCCAGCAAACTCCAAACTGTGAAGCTCTTGCTGGCAGAGCATGTTCATGCTTTGCTTTCTCCAGCACCAGGATGCAAAGGTCTTTGACAGTGTTCAGGCACTGGAGGTTTCTGCAGGGGACTTTGGCAGTCCTAAGTGCCTCCTCTGCTTCCCATCAGCAAAGAGGCAGGAGGAACAAGGGAGGCTTATGTGTTTGAGTTAATGTGGTTTGTACCTTCTTACCACCGTGAGAGGGCTGAGGTCCTGTGCCATCATTTGCTTAACAGCATGGTGGAGGAGCCTGTGGTCAGCATAGATAAGCTACAGAAAGCTTCTCCTCGAATGTGGGTTGGGGGACACTCCTGGGACTGCTCCATTTGAATAGAGGCATTTGAACAGAGGCATTTGTCCACCAGCCTTGTCTTCTGCCTGAGGGGCTACACCACCATCCCCTCATCTCCCTGGGCTCCCTGCCTGTGCCACAACCCCTAGCTGGAGACGTACAAGGGCACCAGCACAGGCTCCAGGGAGCAGCCACAAAAGGGGAATGAAGCCACCCGTTGTAAGTGGGAGCCTGAAGCAAGGGCAGCTGTTGAGTCAGCCAGCACACGCTGCTTCAGTCGACCTGTTTACTGCGTAAATATACGGGGAGAAAACCTTGTGTATGGAAGCTACAGAAAAAGCCTATTTTTGCTATAAATATATTATGTTTGACATGGATGTGTGTTTTATTTCTGCCCAATGTTGGGAAGGGAATCCAAATTTGTATGGTTGCTGTGAAGGCAGGACAGCAATGCCTGGCTGACCACAGCCCTGAGATGACCCAAGTGCCAGGAAACCAAACATGCTCAGCCATGCTGGGGTTACGTACCGACAAGCTCTGGTTCATGGCCAGCAGCTGGTCACTGAGGCTACACCTATCCTGTTCAGCTCAGCTACATTCTCTTGCCATGCTCAGATAAGCAACTGCTGGAGCTTTGCATGTTTGATAGGAAAAGAGGGAAGAAGGGGCTGTGGCATTCCAGCAAGGAGGAGTGGAATGTGCCAGAGGAAGGAGCTGGCTGGTATCTGGTCACTGGCGGCCAAGGTGTGGGTGCTGCTTCTGCAGCTGAAGAAGCATTTTTCTCACGCTCCCAAGCACTCAGCAAGGCCAGGAACCAAGACCAACTTATTCCTGATCCATGCTGCTGGTGCCTTCCCTCTGCTGGGGCCGGGCCAGCTTGTACTGGGCCAAGCTAGTGCCTGGGCAGTAAAATGCCAGAACAACTGGTGCTGGGTAGTACCAGCTGAGTCAGTACCGGTGCTGGAACAAGTGACACCAGTGCAAGGATGACTAGTGCTGGGACAGCTGCCGCCGGGCTTGGCTAGACTGACTAGCTGTGGGACTGACTGCTATACTATCACTTAGCCACAGTGAGGGCTGGGCAGGGATCAGGCAGCTGGGTGTACTGCTCGCTGTCAGGGTTAACCACAGCAGCCTAGCTGCTTGCCAGTCTCCCTGCTGCCCCTGCAACAGCAGCTGTATCCCCTGCAGGGCTGGGATGGGTCACAGCAGCCAGTTCCCCACAGGGCTCACTGCTCCTGAAGCCAGCAGCGCTGGGCAGCCTGGGGCTGGCTCCCAGCCTGCTGCCAGCATGCCTCTGGCTGGGGGTGAGGGACTGCCTGTCCCAGGTGATGTGAGGCTGGCTCCCTTTTATCTCATCTCTACACCTGCACTAAGGGCTGGCCTTGCAGGGGCTGGGGCAGCTGCCACACACTCCAGCTCACAAATACCAGCCATACCAGTAAGATGAAGGGCTCCATGCTCTCTCAGCCCTGACCAGAAACAAGCAGATCTGCTGGCAAGGCCAGGAGAGACTGCAGGCAGTCACAAACAGCATGCCACAAGTCTGGCAATTTTAATGCTTGAGTCTCTGTCCTGTTGGCCCCCCCATCCTTCATGTGCTTGGGCCAGGATATTCCTCCCTATTGCTCTATGGCTGGAAGAACTGCCAGAGTACAGACTGGCTCACCTCTACAGGAACCTTCCAGGATATCCTGCACACGGGAGTTGGGACACCGGCTGTACCGGGGATTACCGAGGGGAGGATGCAGGCACATGCCCAAAGCAGTAACTGAGTTTCTTTCAAAGCCTGTAGCAGAAAGAAGTGCTGGCAGGTGCAGCCAGGACTGCTTTTGTAACAGCTGAGCCATTCCCAAGATGCGTGGTGGGAGGAATGGTGTGCTCTAGCCCACGGACAACACCAAGTCACACTGCAGCAATGGTACTGCCACAGCTCCTACAACTCACCCCTTCAAAGTCATGCCTCTGACTGCTGCTCTTACCAGAGCTGTGAAGAGGAAGTAATAGCACATGAGGTGAGGACAGCTCGAAGAAGGCAGTGTGCACCCATGTCCCTCTGCCCCAGCTCCACCACAAAGAACACATGCAGTAGGGCAGTAGCCTTCCCCACTGTGCTTCCACACGTGGGCACATCACTGGTGGCACACAGGTCTTCATCAGCCAGCAGGGGCTGGAGGCAAAGCAGGACTCTGGCCAGAAACCCAGCTGAGCAGAAAAGTTGCTTTTGCACTGGCTTCATGTACTGCTGTTCCGCAGGCAACTACCCACAGGCCAAAATACTTATGGTGACAAGCTGGGAGAGCTACAAAGTCTCCAAGACTGCAAGAAAGGTGCAAACACAATGCCTTGAACCCATAGAACACAGCAGGACTCTTGGTGACTGCTGAAGACAGCGTCACACTCATCAAAAGCAACCCTGAGCTAAGGCATTCCCATTTTGCACTCCTTGGCAGTGTTTAAATGGCACAGGCCAATGCTCAAAGAAGTATAAGAAATGTTAATGGCTACTGGGAAAATGCATGGTCCCCTGCTGTGCAGCAAGTTTTGAACACATCCACTTTGATCCAATCAGCTGCAAAATCTTTGGCATTTTGTGTCTCCAACAGCACCCATCATTATGTGCCTGCAAGAAGCCCTAAGTACCAAGGAACAGATGAGGGGCAGACAGCTCCCCTAAGGATCTTCTTCTAATTCCCCATTTTTGTAAATTGGGTTAAATCTTGCTGCAGGACCCTTAAGAGCCCCTTAGAGTTATACAGTTATTTGCATTAACTGCAGCAAAGAATAGAATTAAAAAATAATATACAGAGTATCCAAGGCTTTGAAAGAAAATTTTCTGGCTGTACACACATTGTGCAATTTAACAAATGAGCCTTTACCCTCAGCAGCGTTAGAACATCCCCAATTTGCCCTCCATGTATCTAACCTGGCCAGTGGAACCCATGGTTTACACTCCTTCCGTCCTTACTCTCATCTCCTTACCTGCCACCACTGCTGCTGACACACAAAGATATTTGAATGTAGCTATATAAAACAGAGTCACCCTCAGCACTCAGGTCTAGAAAGGCAAGAAATGAAGGGACTAAAACAACTCTAGACTAGTCCTGCAGGATTTAAAACTCCCCAGGGTCAGTTTTAGGGCTTGGCACTCCATGGATCTCGATGTACTTGTTGCAAGTTGCAACAAGGGGCTCTATACACTGCAGAGCACACCAGAGACTTTGTGGGTGGTCACACTGCAACCCTTCTGCCTCTGACCAACTAAGGGGCATTTCACTGCCGGGGGGGCCATAACAGGTGAGGATGGCAGAGGAAAGAAGACAAGGGCAAGGAAAAATAGCTGGCCCTTGCCATGAGAACAGAACAAACTGTATGAGACACAGAACAGAGGATTACAGGTTTTTATTTTTCAAACATTCTCCCCTAGTCTAGCACATTCTACAGTCTTGCTAGCACAGATGGTAACAAAGCCTGTAATGGTTCAGAAGTTACACTGCTACAGAGAGCAATCAAAAGCAGAGGTTTATCTTCTAAAAAAAAAATTATTGTGAGAAATGGGTGGAAGAGTGCACAGGGGATGTGGTGGAAACTATGTCAGGTAGTGGTGCCTGCCCTGTGTGCAGCAGACATCTGTGCTAGCAATGCAGAAGCCTTTCCTGGGATCACACCAGGTGAAGACTCCACTGTGCTGGAAGCACCATTTCACAGAACCACCCCCACTGCCCTATGAAGGTGGCTCTTTCAGGAGAAGTAACCTATCTTCTATGTAGCCAAACCTCTCAAGACACCCTGGGGAACCCCACACCACCAGTCCCACACCACTGCCCTTCTGAAAACCAAGGACTCTGTTTTTGTGTCCCAGAACATCCCCTTCTACCACACACCATAACACTGCCTTAGCCAAAGAACCATAAATGCAACACTGTCAGCTCTTACACCTTCAGCTTCTGCTGCCTCTTCTCCCTGCTTTACACCACAGTATTAGGAGTGATTTTCATTCCATCATACTGCTTTCCATCAGCTACAGACACATCAGGGTGCAGGGAAAGACAGACAGGCTAGTGAAGAGAGGGGATCCCTTCTCTGAAGGTCAAGCAAGTGTGGTGATGGGTTAGCATATGCTCCAAGCTTTCACATGGACAGATCTTTCAGGCTTCAAAGTCACCTCTTGTTTGCTTTTCTCCACATTAATTAGAACATGTTTTTCATTGGACATGCACCTGAGGCAAGCCCTAAGCTATTCCCTGTTCA